ATTCTCACTTTGTGCACACTTGGTGAGTGGTGTGGCGAAGGTAGCGGACGATTCATTCTCACTTTGTGCACACTTGGTGAGTGGTGCGGCGAAGGCCAAAGAGTAAAGAGTTGCCACAGACAGTCTCTCATTACAAAAATGGCTTCAACCTTACCACGGTCCGCGGACAAAAATACATCTGGCCTGCAATGCCCACCATGGCACCAACCAAGCAGGCACTGTGAACAGACACTCCCAGGGACAGGAACACCAGGACCAAATGTGTGATTACACGGGGGTACAGACGAAATCAGAAAAGACAAGGTCTCTGTTAAAGATGACACTACCGTCTTCACCCGAATAGAACGCCCGGTTATTATAGATGTATCTGGACTGAACATTGCACCAAATACGGCTATAATGACCGGGCGTTTTATTCGGATGAAGACGGTAGCACTGAGAGAAAACAAATACTAACTTACAAAGCAATGTCCATATGGAAAAATCTGAGGAATGGGAATTAAGCATAGGGCCTCGCCACACTACTCCCTACCTGGAGAAAAAAGGCCATTTTCGGGAGTGCGTCATCGCCGCACCAACTCCCGACTTGGAGCAGTCAGAAAGTGGCCTTCGAGAACACTCCCGAAATCGCTTGGGACTCCCACCTGCAAATGGCCATTTTCGGGAGACCTCGTGCGGAGGCCCGGTTTCGACCGGAAATAAAGTTGTGAGGAGATTGTGGCCGACAAGCGGTCTCCTCACAGTTTCCGTCGGCACGTGCTGGACAGCACTTGAGAGTGCTCTCGAATTCCCTCGCCACTGCCTCCAAATCCGACAGCACCCCAAGTCGGGAGTGCAATGTGGTGAAGCGCACTCCCGGATGGATGTTCGCGTCTTCTGACGTTCGGGAGTACCGAATTTTTTTCTCCAAGTTGGGAGCAGTGTGGCGAGGCCCGTAGACCAAATAGAAAGTCAGGGACTCACTCCGATGAACGTCTGTCATCATCCATAGACCATATGCACCACATAGACACCACGAACAGAGTGGCCCGATAATAGCATTACAGGCACTCCAACCACCCCAACACCGACTGTTTAGCACTTCTTAAAGGTACTCACCAGGCACACAGACACTAACAAAAAAAGTGGGGAAAACAGACACACAAAAAAAAAAAACAAGAAGAAAGACATACATAAAACTGATTGTGTGTGTGTAACATGCGCTTCGTGGGAGGCGATCTTCCACGAAGGAGGCGATCTTCCACGACACGTCATACTCATGCTACTCCGACTGAAAAACGTCAGCACACCGTAAGCAAAAATCAAGACGCGGGAGGCGATCTTCCAACGCGGCGGGGTAAAGCCATTTCTAGGTTCGCTCGTGGGGAGGGCAATAATGGGGCCGTTTATCGGTTGAAGTAGGCCATTCTTTGCGTTTAGATGGTGAATCGAGGTGAAGGGGGGTAGGGGTGCCTCGCACTTCAGTGGGGCAAAAAAACATCCCGCAGAGCGAAAAAAGCAAGAAAAGCAGAAAAAAAGTAGAAAAAAAGTGGAAAGAGTATGAAAGCATGCGACAGATTGAAATGACAAGGCAATTTTCCATATCTACAGTGCCACCATACGCCTCGTCGAGGCAATCCATTTTCCAACCCCATCAATAAGATAAGTATTTAATGACAGACTGTCGTAAGCGCAGATTTCATAAGGATACCTACACCAAAAAACAGCATACTGCATAGAAGACGGAAAAGCACTGAGGTTTCAAAAGGCAAGAGCAGGCGAAAGGAAAGATTGATCTCCAGCAGAACATACTTTTGTGATGATTATACCCAAGCTATATCCCAAACACAATCAAACAGTGCATAGAGACATTCCAACTGAGAAGATCGTAGCATAAAACGACAATCCRTGCGATTGAGTAGAGAGATGGAGAGAGGCGAGGAGAGGGGTAGAAAAAAGTCGAAGGAGAAGAAGAGCTTTACACGAGAATAAAGTTCCAAGATAGCAAACAAATCCTTATTAAGACCGTTCAATCAACAACGAGCACATCGCTCCTCCTATATCCATTGCTGTCGAAACCTCACGCGATCCCATTAGGGAAGGGGAAAGGGCCGGGGAGTAGAGAGGACAGGTGAGAGGCTGTCTCTTATACACATCTAGATGTGTATAAGAGACAGGTATGGGGGAGAGAATGGAGGAAGTAAAGGAAGGAGAGGAAGGAGAGGAACGCGAGGAAGGCCAAAAGGGCGCAAGTCGAGGTCTCGGCTGCCGATCTGTGCTCCATCGCCCTTCGCTGTCGCAGCAATACTATCGAGCTTAATGAGTCCGCAATCCTCCAGCGCCTCTGATGAAGAACAGGCAGCAGCAGCTGGCGAGAAAAAGGGTTACGAAACAAATGGTGCCGCCGAGCAGGAACGCAAAGCGCCTCGCTGATAGTCGGAGAAAAACTCCCTCGGACAAGCAGGCAGCAAACAAAGCGCAAGCTATGGCTAGGTTGGGTATCAGGACGAGGAGGAGGAGAAGAAGCAGGAACGCGATGCTCTGAGCAGGGGTGGGCGCTAAGTCGGACAGGCTGGGTTCGGCGGGGCAGGTGGGGGGAGGCTGCATAGTGCTCGGCCTGGAGTGCTCAGGTACTGGGGTACGACAAAGGGACCAAGAGAGTGTCGTTTCACAGTGTCGTTACCACTTCTTCCTCCTCCCGCTGCTCATCCTCCAGGTCCCAGTCGGCAAAAACGTCCATGTCGCCCGTCGCTTCGTCTATTCCCCACGCAGTCCCCGACAAACTGACCGCACTGCTAATCGCGAAAGTCGTCGATTCGTGTGTTAGTTTGATGAATAGAACACCCTGTGTTCTGTTCTGATGTAGTCCCGAAGCATGCCCAACACCCGCAGCCTTCCGATGCAAGCTATCGTTCCTATTCCACTATTCCTACGTACTTATCGGATGGTCACGAAAAAAGCAAAGAGAAAAAAAGAAAAAAAGAAAAAAAGAAAAAAGAAAAAAGAAAAAAGGAAAAAGGAAGAAAGGAAAAAAGGAAGGGGGGAGGGGGGAGGGGAGGGGGGGAACAAGGGACACCAGGGGTGACACAGTCCAAGAGCAAAGACCCGGCTGAGACCTACCTACGGTCCCCGGGGTCGTGTATTATTCGAGTCCCGTCCATAATCGTCAAGATCCGAGAGCGAGCCGTTCTCGAAATCCATGGTCGGTCGAATCCCGCTGATCAGGATTTTATTCGGGTTTTTCCTCCAGCGTTTTATTCGGGGGGTCGGGACCATGCTACGTTTGCCCAATCAGAAAGGAAAGAGGCGGGAGAAGAAGCGGAGGGGAGAAAAAGGAAAGAAAGAAAGGAAAAAGGAAAAAAGGAAAAAAGGAAAAAAGGAAAAAAAGGAGGTAGAAAGAAAAAGAAAAAGAAAGAAAAAGAAAAAGAAAAAGAAAAAGAAAAAGAAAAAAAGGAAGGAAAAAGGAAAAAGGAAAAAGGAGAAAAAAGTGGTGGTCCGAAGGGCCAGAGGGGCCAATGAGCCGTCCACCCTTCCCATTGCCCATGACGCGATTTGAGAGGGAAGGGGGCCCGTCCATCCATCTTCCATCGATTCTCCTCTTCCTCTCTTCGACCTGTAAGCGTGTGTGTGTGTGTGTGTGTGTGTGTGTGTGTGTGTGTGTGTGTGTGTGTGTG